GCTCGAATCGATCTGGAGATCTGGCTGACGCCCAGAAGAGCATACCCATTGGCACAATTTGCGCTATCTTAACTACCAGCACCGTTTACTTGTCCAGCGTTTTGTTCTTTGCTGGCACCGTGGACAATTTGCTGCTGCGCGATAAGTAAGATCTACAATAATTGAAATTTGTATAATAATACGTCATATATATAAATGGAATTTAATTTCAGATTTGGTCAGTCAATTGGTGGAAAATTGGTTGTGGCCAACATTGCGTGGCCCAATCAATGGGTTATCCTAATCGGTTCGTTCTTATCGACACTGGGTGCCGGCCTGCAGAGCTTGACGGGTGCTCCACGTTTGCTGCAGGCAATTGCCAAAGATGAGATTATACCCTTCCTGGCGCCGTTCGCTAAGTCATCCAAGAGAGGCGAGCCAGTGAGAGCTCTGCTGCTAACGCTAGTCATTTGCCAATGCGGAATTCTGCTAGGTATACGATTCGGGAAGAGCTTTTGCAGGCCCTATATATATTCTATATACTATTTGTAGGAAATGTCGATCTGCTTGCCCCACTTTTGTCCATGTTTTTCCTCATGTGCTATGGCTTTGTTAACTTGGCCTGTGCCGTGCAAACTTTGCTGCGTACGCCGAACTGGAGACCTCGCTTTAAGTTCTATCACTGGAGCTTGTCCTTGATAGGTCTTACCCTGTGCATATCAGTTATGATAATGACTTCGTGGTACTTCGCACTGATTGCCATTAGCATGGCAATCATCATATACAAATACATCGAATATCGAGGGTAAGCCTACCATAAATATAAAGTTGGAATCAGACTCTCTCATTGTTATTTATCGTTTACCATTTGCTCACAGTGCCGAGAAGGAATGGGGCGATGGCATTCGAGGCATGGCGCTAACAGCGGCCAGATACTCACTGCAGCGCTTGGAGGAGGGACCGCCGCATACGAAAAATTGGCGGCCACAGATTCTGGTTCTAGCCAAGCTGAATGACAACCTCATACCAAAGTATAGGAAAATATTCTCCTTTGCCACGCAACTGAAGGCTGGCAAGGGCCTAACAATTTGTGTATCTGTGATAAAAGGTGATCACACAAAGATTTCTAACAAAGCAGTCGATGCGAAGAATACGCTGCGCAAGTACATGACAGATGAGAAGGTTAAAGGATTTTGCGATGTTCTAGTGGCTCAGGAAATTAGCGAAGGTCTCAGTTCAGTGTAAGTAGAAAATGTTTAATTAATCTTGAATGTTATCTTTAAATGCAATTATTATTATTATATTTTTTTTTTACAGCATACAAACGATTGGGTTGGGTGGCATGAAGCCGAATACGGTTATCATTGGTTGGCCTTATAGCTGGAGGCAAGAGGGCCGTTATAGCTGGAAGACGTTCATTCAAACAGTGCGAACTGTCGCCGCTTGCCACATGGCGCTGATTGTTCCCAAGGGAATTAACTTTTACCCAGAATCAAATCACAAAGTAACTGATATAGATATATATAGAGATATGTTCAGGAAAGTTCACTGACCGTTATATGATTGTAGATTGGTGGTAATATTGATATTTGGTGGATCGTTCACGATGGTGGCCTACTCATGCTACTGCCATTCCTGCTTAAGCAGCACCGCACTTGGCGCAACTGCAAGCTACGCATTTTCACTGTTGCTCAAATCGAAGACAATTCGATTCAAATGAAGAAAGATTTGAAGACATTCTTGTACCACTTACGAATCGAGGCAGACGTTGAAGTCGTTGAAATGGTAAACAGCCGAAAGAGACTTTGCCTTTCGCTCTCTCCCATTGTCTATTTCAATTGCATTGCTCTTTGATTTCAGAATAATAGCGACATTTCAGCCTATACCTATGAGAGAACTCTCATGATGGAACAGCGCAATCAAATGCTTAAGCAATTAGGCTTAAACAAAAAAGAAAATTCCAAAGTGGTAAGTGGAACATTAGGGGTATTTCGAGCTACTTCCCAAGCAATGCAAATATTATGTACGATCCTGAAAATAGTTTTGGTTTACCTTGATTTTGTTTCGTATTTCTTTATTAATTTATATATATACATATTTTTCCATGATTTATTACATGATTTTCAGTTATTAGTCGTTATTCAGTTTGTGAAAAACCTTTGACAGCTATTAAGATAAATAAAAATTTCAAACTTTGTATATTTGATCAAAGGCTCAAACTATAATGGAATTTAAGGAAACACCCAGTGATAATAAGTTATCTTTGGTAAAGCCTCCAAACAGAATTAAGACTTGTATCAAGATCAAAATTATTCTCATATACAGTTATATATATAAACAAAACCAAACAGCTATTATAGTTATATCCAATATTAATGTATATCTATCATTAGCTCGTTTCATGAACTTCACTTTTACAAAGTCAATAATTCATCACATTATTTCATCTATGTATTAATGTATGTAGTAGGTTTACATACATTTAAACATAGCTCTACTTACATCATTCATTACCCTATAGATGTAAGTTGATGTTTTCATCCATCTCATTTTTCCATTTTCCATTTACATATGTATGTGAATGTATGTATTCTGTATATGTTGTTTATGTGCGTTTGCCTATGCTTAGACTAAGGATGTTCTTATAAATTTCATTGAGAGATGTGTTGAATTGCTTAGAGCTGAAACAGTCTTTTTATGTCTATCTGTTGCCACGTCAAACTCAAGCTCCTTCTCATCTTTCAACACGGATGTATACTCCGACTCCTTTACTCCTCCCTTCCCCATACTTCGACTGTTCTGCTTCTATTTTTATTACTACTCCTATTTCTGTTCCTTCGCTTGCCGCTACTCCTATGTACTCCTTCCCTTTCTGTACCTCCTCCTCTTATTCCTACTCTTCTGCTCCACCTCCTACTTTTCCTCTGCCTCCTCTTACTCTTACTTTCACTCTTACCGTATTCACTTAAGTACTTTGAGAAAAGGAAGCTTTATTATTTAGCCTTGTTAAAGATGAACCGATATATAAATAGATTTAATAGGTTTTATATGCATTGTTTCCTTTTACTTGAGTT